GCACTATTCAGATTAAATGCTTTTATTTAAACATGAATTCATGCAACTGACAGGAATTCAACACTCAGCTGCAGCTCAAAGTTATCCTTGGAAAAATTTGGTTACTTATGCAGTGATTTTTGTATGGTTTTGTGTATTCATCCCTACCTTTTTTCTGTATTTCTTTTTGGCATTGCCATCTCTACATCATACTTAATTTTTGCAAAAAACAATTTCTTTATTACTTGTTCTAATTGGCATTTGCTAATGCAACGTAATGTTCTATTACTGCAACTAAGAAAAAATAACTTCTGATTTAAGAATATACAATTGAGCAAGGTGAAGTAAAGTCTACATTACATGTAAAATTAACATAAATTTTTAAGCCTGTCTTCATAATTCATACATTTTAAACAAGGTGTTATTTCATAATTCTAGCATCTCTTTTCTTTATCTTTTCCAGCAGGTCAATATCATTAGTGTAATATAGAAATCAACTTTGATTATAATGTATTCCAAATATAAATATAAGAATCAGCAAGGTGACGGCTACCCACATAACCTGTGAAGAATTTGTTTTATCTACCTTACCCTTACATTTAGATTGATCACATACATTAAAACAGAGTTAGTTCTAATCACCAAGGGTACTGAGTAGATAATTTACCAAAAACATATTTCCACATATAATACCTTCTCTCTTTTCACAATATCAGCATTGTTTTCACACACTCACTAACTCCTTTCTGAATTTCTATATCCTAAGCACACCCAAAGAATACTCCTTATCCCCCCCCCATATGTAAATTAGATTGGTCACATAATGCAATTATATTTAATTACTATGGCTACAGAATGGACATTCAAATCTGCTAAGAGTGTTATGTTTTTTCAACAATCATCCCTCCTCCCTCTTGAGTTTACATACAACATAGATTTTTCTGAATTTCTATAACCTAAGTATATTTTTACCTATTGGGCTTTTGACCATTTACCTCATTTATAGCGATCAAACATTTTTCACAATTGATTAACTCATTCAAACTTCCTTTTGAATCAAGATAATGCGTAGAAGCTGATACTGAAAATATGGTGCTAACTTTATGATAAGCTGTATCTAGAAGCTGATACTGAAAGTAGATGATAAGCTGTATGTGGTGCTAACTTTTTGTAGAAGCTGATACTGAAAGTAGATGATAAGCTGTATGTGGTGCTAACTTTTTGTAGATATGGTGCTAACTTTACAGCTTATCACCTACATTCAGTATCAGCTTCTACAAAAAGTTAGCACCATATACAGCTTATCATCTACGTAAATAAGGTACAATGAAAATCCTAAAACTGAATCCTGAAAAAACCCATAAAAGTCACATTCAGTCAGACTGAATAAATCACCATTTTTGTACACTGCTTTAGCTAATGCTTTCTAAAAGTCAAGGTAGACAACATATATACACTTTTTTAACTTTGGCAAATTTAAAATATTAGAAACTTCTTTGATTCAGTTTTTCAAGGTGGCTTTCTAAATTATTTCTAATAACAGATTCCAACATCTTACAAAAAAAATCAAAATGATAAGACTGTACTTTCCTAGCTCCTCTCTTGTCCTTTGTTTTTCTTGGTAGGAACCACATTAGTAATCTTTCAATTATTAGGTATTTCTCAGCTATCCAACAAGTTTAAAAAAATAGTCATTAAAGTTCCACTGGCTCCTTATATAGTTTCTTTAGATTTTTAATAATTAATACTTTCATCTCAATACCCCTGTTTTATGCCATGTTTTAAATTTTATATCACAATGAGAAACTAAACACGCTCACCTAATTTTGTTTGTAATTTGAACAATAGGTTGCTGAGATGTGTGTATTATTCATTTTGTTGCCATAACATAAATGTCTTGATAGTTCTTTTTAAGTCACTTGGTGATGTTTTGAGCCTGTTTAAGTACTAAATGACTATTTTTGTTTTAAATAGGAAAATTAATGTTGTTGTTTTTTATAAGCATTTTTTAATTAAATAATTAGTTTTTTATTAATTCATTAACAGTAAGTCAAAATCCATATTTGTATGTTTATTGGGGGGGTCTAACATACTGTTTCAAGGCAATGGAATACCTTACCTTAGCTCAGAGGTGTCCTACTAAATCAGATTACAATCTGGGAGACTTAATATGTATGATAATTCATAAAGTAAAGAAAAAACATAAGTTTGATTCATCAGTTGAAAACACAGCATTCATATACAAAAACAATGACCCTTGTTATTTAATTCACATCAGTAACAAGAATCAAACCTGTGTTGTTGAATCTTACTGGTTTGTCATCATTTTTGTAATTAAATTTGCCTCATTAATACATCTTCTGTCTGTTGCTTAATAGTTACAATTTACCTAATACCCAGAACCTGGGTCCTAATCTAGATTCAGATTAAATTACTATTTAACCTAATCTGTATTGGTTTATCTGAATAATTACACTTAAATCCACAACAATTCTTAACACCCTAGGCAGCTAAATGCAGCATACTAGGACATCACATTATCTGAAGGAAGTATAACTAATCAACTTATATATACAAGGGGCCCAGTCGAATGAAACCTGGTTATGCTATAAAGCCCGCAAAGCATCTTTAGGCTACATCTTCATTTAATGATAAAAACCATAGTTTTTGGCTTTTCTTTGCATATAGACGCTTGATACATGAAGAAT